TTTCATAACATAGTTGAGAATCATCTTTATATAAAGTTTGGTATAAAAATGAAAATTGATTTGTGATTAAAACAAAAATCCCACTGTTTTTGCCTTTTCATGTCTATTCATTTATTTTTATTTATTTTTTTAAAGAACAGGACTTTTTAAAGTCCCGATGTCCTCTACAGAGGACATGGCATAACATATGAATAAAATATCATTGTTCAAAAATATTATTTTTCAAATATTTTCTTATGCTCTACACAATGTAATGACATGACAAAATACTAAATTCACAAAACTCTTTTTTTTCTGGTAGTCAGGACTCAGGAGGATATAGTTATAAGTCTGAATATATGAATATATAGTTATAACTCTGAATATATTGAAGTAAAATGAATATATTTATTTATCATGTATATATACTGTATATAGATAGACTCTGCTAAAAACGTTTGATTTTGATCATCATGTCTATTGCGCTGAAATCATGCATTTTAAACCATATTAGTTGAAACTTCTGATTAGTGCTGTCAAACGATTAATCGCGATTAATCACATCCAAAATAAAAGTTTTGTTTACATAATATAAGTTTGTATACTGTGTATATTTATCATGTGTATATATAAATACACACACATACATATATATTTTGAAAATATTTCCATGTATATATTTATATTCATATAATTGATATTATATATAAATATTTTTTATATATACATGCATGTGTGTGTATTTATATGTACACAATAAATATACAAAGTACACACGTAAACAAAAACTTTTATTTCGGATGTGATTAATCGCGATTATTCGTTTGACAGCACTACTTCTGATATACGGTTTTCTGAGCACACACATCCAAAGCACACGCACGGAAAACAACTATCACACGGCATGCGAGTACTAAACGAAGTTCTCTTTCATGTCTTAAACTGTCAAATACACACAAGTTTGTCAAAAACACATAAGTTACAAAAACAGTGGGTTATGTCTGTGAAGGTAAACAGCTGGGAAAGAAATCTCATGTTTATATTAGATCTGTGTGGCAACAGCGTAAATAAATCAATAAATCCACTGCTCTGCACTGCTTTCGCCATGGCATTAGAACTGGTACACCGTTGTCGCTTGTGAAAACACAATGGTGGCACCGTGGGTGGAAACTTGCAGATTAAGGGATGGTAATATTATAATAACATCCCCTTTCTATGTCACAGGGGGAGCGAAATCTAACACGCTCGTTTTCTTCACAAGCTTGCAGAGAAAGGCTTTTTCACGTTTCCTGGGTTGGTAGATGCACCAGGGACCCGTTTATAGCACTTAAATATGGAAAAAGTCATATTTTCATGATATGTCACCTTTAAAATTTATATAATTCTAATAAATTTTCAGTTGTAAACCCCTGTATATAGTGTTATTATAAAAATAATTTAGTTTCACTAATTTTTTTGAAATGCATAATTTTACATTTCACAGAAGTGGTTGCTTGATCTCTGCAGGTTTTTCCCCCCAAATGGCTCTGTACGCTACGGATGGCAAAGGACAATCCAGATTGGGACTTGAGGTGATGTGGCGTCACCTATTGCAATTCCTCCATGAGCACCCCGGGCTGCGAGCGCAGGCTGTGTTCAGTGAACCTCCTGGGGCAGGAAGGGCTAACAACCCTTGCATTGATCCAAGGAGACACTCAGCCCTCTAACCTGCTGAGTGCTCAGTTCAGGAGAACAATGGAGTTCAGCACACATCAATACAGCAGCAGCCTATTGAGCGCACTCCGTTTACTAAAGCCGACTGATGAGGTTGAAGCTCCCGAGTCTGCAAAAGCACGACAGACACCTTCAGTGTCTGTAAAAAAACCCTTTCTTTTCATCGCTCTGAAAGGACATAAAGACTGCAGCCTCCTTGTGTTCCCTGCTCCAGCTTTCCAGCATCTTAACCTGTTACTATGAGTCACGTTGGGCCAAAATGACCGGTGAGCCTCACCTACAATACCACTCCAAAGAGTTGGAGATTGGGATGGAAGAGGCTTTCTGGGCAGGATCGCACTGCTTGTCCCATAAGACACTAAATGATGTACAAGTGCATTTATTACAGCAGCCCCTATAAATCTGAGCCTGGCCTGAACTCCGGGGAGAGGTTAATGGATTACAAAGGGATGCGGTATCGAACCTTTGAGAAGTTTATACACCACATCAATATGTGCAAGGCTATTGATCATTTAGACCTTGACAGACAAATTAAATTCATAAACTTGATAATGCACTGGAATATTTGTATTGCTTACTACAGTGGAATGGGGCCTTTTTTACATTTTTTAAACAGTGCTGCTTTAGGATCAAGGTTTATCGACTGAAATTCACTTAATAGAGTCCACTGAAAATGCCAAGAAGAATGCTGATCTAATGTGAAATTTAGAGTAAGATCCAATACATAGCTATGCAGACTTTACCCACATTTTCTTTTAGGCTGGTGACCATCACATGTAATGTGCAAATTATATAAAAAAAAATGTAAATAATTTACATTTAATAATTATTTGTACTTGTGTAAACTGAACTGCATAATCGAAATTTTTGCCTATTTTGGAACAGAAACTAAATGCATGTATTATATATGAATAATTTACATAAATGAATAATTGATTAATACTATGCCTCCTTTCTTATATCTGAACACATTTTTATTACAATAAAACCATGCAACCAAAGTAAAATTTATTCCTGATCAAATAAAAAATCAACACAAAATAAACAAGGACATTTGTGTTAAATCAAATTTATTACAATTATGTACATTCATCTTTTCATACCAGAATTTCTCTGAGACAAATATCGGCAGGGTGTCAACAACATCAACAGAGCCACATACAGCAACAATGTGCAGTTCGTACAAACTGTTACACACCTTTGACGTAAGCTTACTTATAAAACTGATCCAGCGTGCACACGCGCACACACACACACACACACACACACAGCTCACGTAAATGAGAATGAATGCTTAAATCCCTAAACTGAGTTGCTGAAACTGAGCAGCAGGTTGTAGATTCTTAACAAAACTGTCATAAAAACAGTTGGAGATGAGAATGCAATATTAAAAGATATATAGGCACTGAATATGTGGCTTATATCATGTTTAATTCAGTAGCCCTCACAGCGGCTTTACAATGATTAGCTAAAATTAGCATACTATGTTGTTTAAAGGCCTCTACCGCCACGCTACTAGAAACAACCTGCCAGTTGCAGGAACTCCTGAATGTGGTTTTAAGCAAAACTGATACATGCACACACACTCACACTAAAGCTCTGTCTCATTCTGAAGCCAATGGTCTTCCTTCCTTCCTTCCTTCCTCTCACTTAAAAAGCTAACTCATCTGTAACTCTGCAATGACACTTCTGACACCAAAAAATGCTTTTTACTTTCAAGATTAAACAGACTTGACTGATTCCTTTAAAAGGATTCACCAAAAAACATGTTATTTTCAATTTCATGTCATTACAAACAGCCTTTTTTATGGGACAATGTTATATTTTGAATAGTTTTTGTTTACAAGTTATTTAATGACAGTTAATAGTGACCAGTTGAGCTCCAAAAAAAGACAAAAAAACACTTTGTCTGAACAGTTCTTGAACTGTTAACTTGAGCACCACTCCGGCTGTATTGAGTTTAACTCAAGAACCAGATCAGTCAAATTTTGTGAATTAAATGTGTAGTGATTTGTGAACCGGATCAACCGGTTAATCAAAAACCATTAATTAATTGGACTGATCTGGTCGAAATGTATCCTTTTGTGTTCCACAAAAATAAAAAAGACCGCATAAAGGTTTAAGTAAATCACAGTTGTTGTTGTTTTGGGGGTTGAACTATTCCTCTAATGTTCACTTTACATTTGGATTTTTAGCTTTTCAAATCAACGCCCAAGTTTTAGAAAAAAAAGTCACTGCATATCAAATGAACACGCGGTTTCTCTTGACATTGTATCATATGAATATATGCTATTCTTGTGCGGGCTAGTGTTAAGCCAACCCTAGTCTAAGAAGTAAGAAGACATACACACATGGCCAGACAAGTTGAGCTCTTTCATTGTGCCTTCGCATTGTGCCGCCACTGACCCACAATTCACCTGGCTGCGCTGTAATCCGGTTACTCTGAAGGTCATTTGTTAAAAGTGAAAATGTCACAATGGATCTGACACTCTAGTTCTCACTCCAGGATCTCTCTGGCTTTGTTTCTCATCAGCTGGTGAGTGAGTAATTTCATTAGTTAAATATTCATACGTTACTCTCCATTTGCATCACGGGAAAAACATTTTTTTCATATTTTTTTTAATCCTCTCAGGACTTTCTGAGAGAAAAGCCCCCAAAGAGAAAAGCACAACTGTCAGCACCTCCGCTGAAGCATCCATTGTTTTACACAGTTTAATTACAAAACCCCAGCACCGTTTCATGTTAAGATTATTCACTGCAGGAGGCCTATATAATTTGGACTGGAGGGTTTGTCATGTAATATAATACAATATAACAGGCTTTCAGTATTAGATTTCCGATTTTAGCCTCCTTGACATTTCAAGCCGCATGAACTAATACATCTGTTATTTATCGATCATTTGATTATTAACATACTTCATAAACCAAATCAGCTACCCTGCTGGAGACCGGAGAGATACGACCAAGACAAACACATTTCTCTTTCGCCTCATTGTCTGCATTCTCATACGCGTTTTCGCCCTCTCTCTCTTTCTTTCTCCCACAGAAATCTCAAATCCACCATCACTCGTTGTTACACAGACTGCTGAAGCCCGGTGTACTACACGTCTGAAGGAGAATTGATTCACTACGACAGATTACAAGGTCTGATCCAACAATGCTGGGACTGTGTGTAAACTAGTGTTTACTGCTGAACAAAACAAAAGAAATGGCATAGAAGCAACTTAAATGGGCTTTTTTTGGAGTACTACAATCTCTAGTAAAACAGCTAGCTAGCATTTAGGGGAAATGTATGGATTGCAAAAGAAAAAGTCCTAATTCTCTTGTCGTCTTTCCAGAAATTTCTGTTGCTGTGCTTGTTCAGGCATGCAGAAGGTTTGTGCCTTCACTCTGGTTTGCACGTTGAAAGTTTGCATGTTGAAAAGTCAAAAGGGTAAAGAACTGCAGTGAAAGGAACACAATCCACCTCACCTGCCGCTTTCATAGTGTTAAATGATGCTCACGGTAGCCGTTTTACTGCGACGAGGGTGTGATATCAGAACTTGAATGAACTCTAAGGAAACCGAGAGAAGCCAATGGACGGATGAAGTCTGGAGTTTCTTTCTAATCGACCTCGCTCTCGTTGCTCGCACCCTCTGGACGCCGCAGCTTCTCCACCTGCTCGTTTATCTGTCCGTCGCCTCCTCTCCTGTCCTCCGTCTGCACGCTCAGGTGGTCTTCCTCATCCGCATGGGTCACGTCGTCATCCTCGTCTTCGTCCTCATCGTCCTCTTTCTTCTCCTCCTCACCCTGGACTTCCATACGGACCTGGTCTTTCAGGTCCAGAGGGAGAATGGAGCCCAGGCCCATGTCTCCGTTCAGGCAGTGCGAGCCGGACGGGGAGCTGTTGCCCTCTTTGACGGGGGAGGAGTTGGCCGACTCGTTGCTGACGGGCGAGATGTCGCTGCTGCTGTTGGTGTGGTTGACTGAGGGCGGGTTGGACAGCGATCCGGGCTTGAGAGGGATTTGCCAGGATGGGATTTTGGGAACGGAGGGTGAAGCGGGGAACTGTCTCCTGAGAAGAAAGAGGACGTGAATAGAACATTACAAGTGTTTTCTTCGAACTCTTTGCTGAAATCTCTCACAACAGAGTACACATTGTGCCTCAGGCTTGTGTCTGCCTAAAATATGCACAAGCGAGTCCAGCTATTGTGCTTTGGAAACACGAGCAGATTTGTCTGTCTGAAAGTACATGAGAGATTATGTCCATATGTACTCCACACCTGGCATCTGATTCAAAACAAAGCATGTCCTCGCAACAAAGGTAAAATAAATTCAAAAGTGACTTCAGGGTGGTTTTGTTTGAATATACGAGGCAACAAGTTGAGCAGATGGTGAGCTTGGTTTGTATTTACAGCAAAGATCTCACATCTTGAGAAGGACAACCAGACACAACATTCAGACACTGGAAGAAAAAGTCTTCCTCATCCGCATGGGTCACGTCGTCATCCTCGTCTTCGTCCTCATCGTCCTCTTTCTTCTCCTCCTCACCCTGGACTTCCATACGGACCTGGTCTTTCAGGTCCAGAGGGAGAATGGAGCCCAGGCCCATGTCTCCGTTCAGGCAGTGCGAGCCGGACGGGGAGCTGTTGCCCTCTTTGACGGGGGAGGAGTTGGCCGACTCGTTGCTGACGGGCGAGATGTCGCTGCTGCTGTTGGTGTGGTTGACTGAGGGCGGGTTGGACAGCGATCCGGGCTTGAGAGGGATTTGCCAGGATGGGATTTTGGGAACGGAGGGTGAAGCGGGGAACTGTCTCCTGAGAAGAAAGAGGACGTGAATAGAACATTACAAGTGTTTTCTTCGAACTCTTTGCTGAAATCTCTCACAACAGAGTACACATTGTGCCTCAGGCTTGTGTCTGCCTAAAATATGCACAAGCGAGTCCAGCTATTGTGCTTTGGAAACACGAGCAGATTTGTCAGTCTGAAAGTACATGAGAGGATTATGTCCATATGTACTCCACACCTGGCATCTGATTCAAAACAAAGCATGTCCTCGCAACAAAGGTAAAATAAATTCAAAAGTGACTTCAGGGTGGTTTTGTTTGAATATACGAGGCAACAAGTTGAGCAGATGGTGAGCTTGGTTTGTATTTACAGCAAAGATCTCACATCTTGAGAAGGACAACCAGACACAACATTCAGACACTGGAAGAAAAAGGTAATTACAGCTTAAACTGTTTAATGAGAACGAAACGGCAGACAAACGAAAGCTTTTATCTGTGAATTTCAGATGTATGAGATTACTTAGATCTTAATTTGCATGATACATACATAATCAAGTAAACATTAATGAAAGTGAGGGAAGATCCATCTTGGGGCATTGTGGGAACCTGTTGGATGCATCAGGCCTCATTAACCAGTAATGAGCTGGTTCCAGCTACATGCCCCGGTGAAGAGAACGATATGACACATACAGATCAAACCATTTCAGACACATTTATCTGCCAAATCGTCCCAAGGCATACTAATATCAGCTGCCCTGAGTGAGAAACAATGCTCTCCACTCGTTTATTTACACAGTGATATTACAAAACATGCATGTTGGAACATCTACTGAAGGTCTCTTTCATGATATCAAATGTTAAGTACATGCATCTTATTAGTTTTCAAGCACAAATCTGAACACACTGTAAAATAAAGAAATTCTTAATGGCAGGAAATGGCTTTTGGATGTCAGACTTTATTGTACACAAACAGAAACGAGGCTGTGCGGGAGGAAAATACAGTTTGTTCAATATGTCATACTGTTATGTATCAGAAAATAGGTCCAAGGTCACATGAAATTTTTGCTTTGTTTTTTTTGCAATTTGTGGAAAATCAATTTTAATGTTTAGCGAGCTGACAGATTGACACCCAAATACACAAGATTATAAATCCATCATAGCCACATTTTGTCCGTCAAATCAAATATGGCATCTATTGTTAGATATTTATTAAAAAAGTGAAAAGTTACCTGCTGAGAAGAAGACCCTTAAGAGATACAATCTCAGCCTTGAGTTCACTGATGCTCTGAGACTCCAGCATGCAGTTGGTGGCAGATGAGGCCTGAAGAAGAGACAAAATTACAAATGATCATCACCATAATTTTGGTTTTGAAAACAAATTTAAAACACTCATTATTTACCACTATAGGCTTTCCACACCTCAAACCATTAACCAAGGATTATTCTGAAACCTCTATAAATATAATCATGGTTATCTTTTAAAATGCTGCTAAACTGACCTTTACATGGGCTTTAAACAAAGTTATATATTCTCTACTGTTGTTAAAGGTGAATATCTGCCCCAGAATGTGAAAGCTCTATCATATCAGGCCTTGTTTACCAGAACCTGTTATATTAGTATGCAGCATATGCAAAAAACTTCACAAATGTCAGCGATCTGTTAAAGTGTGACTTTTTCTAATTTGATTTGTCAGAGTCACTCAATGAACACAATAATTTGATGCATTCAAACTGCCAATACGAGACAACGAAAGTCTCGATATCAAACCACAACTACACTGACGAGTCCCAGCTACTGTATTTTCTCCACCCAGAAGGTCAGGATCTTTCAAAAAAAAGGCTAAGGGAATTAATCATACCATTTTTACATATTTTTCCATATTGCAGACTGCTGATTTGAGCAGGACAGAGGTGTTTGATAAGAGGTCTCTGGCACAACAATGGCAGTATTCATCAAGTCAGGGAGGTTTTTATTAAAAGAAGCCTTATCGCCAACTGCTTGCCATGGGATGAATTGCTGAAGGGAGTGATGGCCAATTGAAGTGGCCAGCAAACATTTGAATAGCAAATGACTTCAAGGGAAAAAAAAGCCCCAAAAAAAATCCATCCATCATTTCCCCCCCTCAAATAGACAGGTGGTTGGTAATGTCAATTTATAAAAAGATACCCTCTTCACGCAAAAAAAAAAGATTTGTAGCGCCTCTACATTTTAATTCCAGTTCTCCAAACATTCTGGAAGATTAACCCGGGCTCTCAAGCCGCTCCACTCTTTGAACCATCCACAAACAAACAGCCCACATCTACCCCATAATCCCATTCCAGTTCTTCT